TTACTTATTCTTAACTCTTACATTATTACAGTTTTCAATGTCCTTGAATATGTCTCTTATCCTCCCTCAGGAAACATTGTCTGCTCCATAAAAGAGTATACTAAATCCAATACAAGGGGTGGAAGAGGGAAAAAGATGTAAGAGAAGGTTTTGGTGGGAAGGATTCAGTAAGAACCCACTTACGATTTTATCCTGGAGAATGTTTAGTCCTCGAAGGAAAGTTTTCCAGTAGGATAGTGATTAAGGGAGAAAAAAGCTCTTAATATCCTTCATGTAAGAACAAAATGGACTAAACATGTGTGTCTTTGGGGCACTATCTATCTGCTGAGGAGTAGGCCAACATGATATAAGGCTTACTTTTGCGGGGCCAAGATGGATACTTCAAATCCAATTTATGGTTTGAAAATTGTGTAATGTATCCATTATAAAGACAGAAATGGTTTCTGGGTAATGCAGTATAATACTAATGATACTTTTTGTCATATGTTTGATTTTGCCATCTTCCTTATTAAGACCATAACACCAACAATCCCTTTCTGGTATTAATGTGCCACTTTGGCCTTAAGCTTATCCCAAAGCAAGCAAGATTATAACTTTCATTGTTCTAGTGTTAAGATTTTTCATGGAAAATAACCCAGAGCTCCTTAAATATAAATTTGAATTAAGATCCATGTGGAACAAAGGATTGCCATTCTTGGGGGTCAGAATATTTAGATGCAAAATATTTGATTTAATCTATATTTGAAGCTATTTCGTTCTTTAAAATCCCAGCTCCTTTTATTGAGTCAGAGTAGAATATACCTCTTTTCTAAATTATATAAAATCTTTATAATATTATATACAATCTTTGCAATAATTATATTTCCCCTAAAAATGTATCTCAGTTTTATAATGAAAAACAAGCGTGCCTATGAAAAAAATAACAAATGATGTTTTCTCTCCCTTTTTCTGCTGTGATTAATTATTTTAAAAAATACTTTACTTTCTGAAAAAAGACTATTACTTTGGCATGTCAGTGTTTAATAGTAATATATCAATGACATGAAAAGTAAAAGAGATAGAATGTTTAAAAATACAAAATGAGATATTATGTGCCTTGATATTTATTTATTAGATCATTTAGCAAATATTAGCATTTAATATTCCAATAAGAATCTGGCAGCTTTTCAATAGGAAGAGTCCTGCAGTATGAGATTTTCATTAAAACAAATGTTCATGTAATATTCCACCTGAAAATAAATTATTGCCAGTGCTATTCATAGCAAGTAACAATTGGCTATTCCTGTTTGATCTCTACTATCCTGATATTAGAATACATCATATTTTGTTAAAATTTAACTAGGCGAGGGTACTCTAACAATATTTAGTTCATTTATTTCCTAATAAATAAGCACAAAAAATAAAAAGGGAACCTAAACATTTATATTTTACCAAAGGGAAATATAAAACTTGCCAAGTGTGGAACTTCAAAGTATAGAACTGGTTCTATTTCTAGCCAATTCATATTTTGGTCTGTTACTCATGGGGTATTTTGCAGTGGATGATGCCTAGTTTGGAGCATTTGCAAGCAACCTTTATTTGAAAATTCTTCAAGTACATGAGTTCTAAAGTTCCATATAATGATGTATATTTGACAGTTCTATTTGGTGAATTTGTGCGATAGTTAGGATTTGTTATAATTATGACCATATCTGAAGCTGGAGTTTTATAGTCTTAATTTGATTCCTTTGATTTTTATGGATTCTTTACACATTTTAACTTTTACTTGACATATTTTATATTATGATATTTGCCTCTTATGTAATTTTAAGAAAGTCAATGGATTGATGTTATCAAGAAAGATTTTATAAATCACAGTTTCTTGCCTACATCTCGGTACTATTGTTTAAAGTAAACTTTTTGTTCATTTAATATTCCAATGAATATTTAGTTCTACTCTACATTAATACATATAGGAATATGAATATAAACTGAACTAATACTAAGTTCATAGTCACAAAACATGGGAATCAATAATATCACAAGCACTATCTTGAACCTACAACATTTAACTACATATCACGTCTACTAAATATTTTATACTGATAAAGGTTGGTTTTACTTATGAATCATCAAAAAATTCTCTAGGAAGTTCTGGTAAAATAGGGTACAGAAGCTCTAGAGTCCAGTTACTGACTCACTATAACTTAGGACAAGGTATTTAAAGCCACATTTCCTTCTCTAAATAGACACCAGATTGGTTGCTGTTCCACATCAGAGGGAAGATGGAGGAGGAGGAGATTGCTTCTCCTTAAAAAGATTCCATTCACCAATGGGACGCAGATCTAACGATAAAGAGTGAAAAGAAAGAAAACACTGTCAGAATGATTCAGTATTAGTTTACTAACTCCAGAGTTAAACTACAGTTTTCGTTGTAGACTGATTTTAGGTCTGAATAATTGAGAACCTGATGTTGAGACAACACTCCTAATTCTAAAAGTTGTTGGCCACTATTTACACAATTCAGAATCTTAAAGGATTCGTGTTACTCTGCACCTAAGTGGGGATTTTATTTGTATTCCCTTGAATGTGAAAGTATTTGATAGGCGGTGTCAGAAGTAGTTACTGGCAGAATAAAAGAGTCCATGCACTGGTCATTTATTCATTTACTCAACAAACATCTATTAAACATAAACATTGGTGATAGGTACTAGGGACACAGAGATGGCAAAAGTAGTATCTTTGCCTCAAAAGATTAAGTCTTGTGCTATACGTCTTCTAGAGACAAAATAGTTTCATGTTGCACTTATAAAAAAGTAGTAACCTGACCTTTAAATACACAAATATTTGGCTTCAATAAAAAGACATTATTTCTATATTAGTATTAAGGAGCTGCACCAAATGAAAGGGGTGAGAGTTGATGTTACAGGGATCCTCTGGAACATTTCAAACCAAGATTCACTGGAATTTGTTATCTGATGACTTCTCCCCATCAGTGTCAAGAGCTCACCTTCATTTTGTTATGGAGAAGTCATTCATTCATTATTTTTTAAACAATATTTATTGAGTACCTTTGACATACCCAGCCCTGATAGGCTGTAATGCCATCATTCACTAATGCCAGTCTGAGCATATGGAGTACTTTGAATATGGAGCCTCATTTTTTCCTTGGGTTCGCCCCTAGGTCTTCCCCCAATCTCTATTTACAGTGTTACCCTTTTTTCCTAAAAGGAATGTTTTCCATTTCTTATTGTGGGCTGTCTGCAGTTAGATTAGGTATGACTAAGCTTCAGTTTTTCCGATTGCCATGTTTCAACATCCTGCAAATGAAAAGATCAGTATTTCAGCTCCCTGATATGTAACAATTTTATTCAAGTCAGATGAATTGGAATGAGAGGATAATTTGGTCATATCTTAGTCAATTACGTGTACCTAAACACAGCTATATTATCAAAGAGTCTAACCAAAAGACGAAGGATAAGAAATTAGAAGTCTGAAAAATTAAAATATTGTATAATAAATATTCCCACTTTGACATTTCACCTTAAAACTAAATATATTTAAAATTTAAGGACAAAGATATCGTGATTATCTGTCTACTATTGTGATACACCTGGTGAGCAGAAGAATTCAACAAACTTCAAGCATTTTATAATATATAATCCTTGATTTAACTGTTTCAGTCAAATTAAAAAATAGTCCTGAAACTGGTTCTAAGAAGATAGACACATCTAATATTTATGCTTCTATCACTGATATTGTTAAATTACACAAGACAAAAGCATTTTCAATCTCATATTTATCATATATAAATAGTTTTACTTCATCAGCATCACTATGCCAAGTAAATATTTTAAATAAAGAAAATTATTTTCATAAAATAAAGGAACCAGCTTCCCAGAGCAGATCCATATAATCCTTAGCTCAAATATGAGTAGAGTGTTTCTAGTACTGACTACAATATCCACTTTGTAGTAGTTCAACATACTTCAGTGTGCATTTTATCGTGTGCTTACCTCATCCCCTTTATAAAGTAGCTCTTATCAGCTCAGCCATTTCCTAATGTTATGCACTAATGGTAATAACATTGTAACAGGTCCGGGAATGCTGTGGCCCAAACTACTCTGATTCCATGTGGCACTCATACCTGGCCCTGTGTCATTCCTGCAGCATTTTAAGACCAGGCTAAAGACTGGCATCCCTTTATTTTTAGCTGATCCCTTTAACACCCTGACCTGGCTAAAGTTTGTTATATGTCAAGGTCCAAAACAACTTCTTTCTATTATATTTTTCTTTTGGTGGTATTTGATGTAGCCTAAAGGAAACCAAAGTGACTGCCAAAGATTCGCTTCTCCCCGTATTAACAGGACAGGTAAGAGTGCCAGAGTAACAAGTAGTTTCCAAATGCACAATGAAACACAGGGGTGCATTGGCCAAAGAGAATGCAAAATACCAGCTCTTGCTATAAAGCTAACAATGTGCTGCTCTTTTCTGAATTAGAAAACTATAGAATATATTTAATAACAACTAGTGGTATATGTTTTCATGTCAATGAAAAGTGGATAAATTTAGATTGTTGCTGTTTATGTGCATTGGATCAATCTTTTCTGCATTTGACATGAAAATACACTTGTGCAGCTTTCATTGGTTGGGTCACAATTTTAGAATAAAACAAACTATACCATTTGCAAGCTAATTTACAAAAGCAAGATCACAGATGACCATATGGCTCTGGCAGCTTACAAAGCTCTCTTCAGGATTTTATTTCAGAATCTCTATACATGGGCTTAATCAAAAATTATTTAAGTTGTTAGCACCATATTTTTAAAGAAAAAATATGCTGTGGCACTGCATCTAATCTTGTGACCCCCACCTCTACTAAAGCGGACTGGCATTATGTTTAAGATACTCTTGAATTACAGATCAAGGAAATGCATACAGAAGACTTGAGGTCACGCCTTTTGAGTTTTTATATTATAAAGAAAATATTTTAAAAGATTTTCTGTGGAATTGATTTTCAGAAGCTAAATGCAACTAGTTCATCTGAAGGCAGCACAGTTGACATAGGAGCTCCCGCTGAGGGAGAGCAACCTGAGGTAGAACCTGAAGAATCCCTTGAACCTGAAGCCTGTTTCACGGAAGGTAAGTGGGAACAATGCATATGAGCTCACTGGACCACTCTTACGTATGTCTTTCCCCATCTTCTAATCATCTCTATCTAGTGACTATCCGTTTATTTGTTTGGCTTTTGTTTTTTTTTTTCTGTATCAAAACAAAGATAATTTTTTAGAAGATAAGATTTATGTAATCAGACATTACTATTTTTGTGCATACTGTTCAGCTAAGAAATGCTGCTAACTATATGGGTGTTTTAGTGGCCTTCTAGAATATTGAATCAGAGAGAATGACAAATCAAGCATATTTCTTGTTAGCTTTAAGAACAAAAAGAAGAAAAAATTTAAGGTCCAAGAGGTAATTTATTGTTTACTGTTTTGTCAGCTTACAATGGGGAGTAAATGATAAGTGTACATTTAAAACTGTCCATGAGTAATGGTTACTTGTATCTGTCAAGATTAATTTTTTTACTTGTTCTGAATGATAATAGATAAGAGATAATGAAATGCCAAAATATACTATGAGTTTTATAATATGGGACACCATGCCATCAGGCCAATAATACCAAGAGGATTTTCTGAAGAAACCTAAAATTATGTAATTTGAGGTATGGATCAGTTATCTCTTGAACAATAACACTATATACCCAGTATTTTTGCTCATGAGTCCATGGCCAGCTAGGTGGTTTTGCTGATCTCGGATAGGCTCTCTTCCAAGCCTGAGGTTTCGCATGGACTCTTGGGCGCACTCAGCTCCACGCCACTCTCAATCTTGTCCTCCGCCCAGTGAGCAAGTGTGTTCATGGGGTGAAGGCACAGGAGCAGGAGAGGAAGCCGAACTGCCAAGGCTCCTCTTCTGCCAGGTTTGCTCCTGTGCTGTTCACCAAAGCAAGTCTCCCGGCCAATCCAGACTGTGGGGGAATTCACCGCTAATGATCAAAGAGACAGAAAAATTTAGTACAATTTCTTCCCACAAGATCAGAAATTCTCTTCATTTCTTATATAAATCCCTATTGTAGGTACAGGAACATTCCTCTAAAACCCTGGATATCACTTCACATTTAACTCATTTTTTTAGTTAACAGCTGTTTAATAATGCATATCATGTCTTAGTCTCAAAGCAATAACATATAGCAATTGCTTAAGCAAAAATTTAAAAATAGAGACATGCCTCAGGGCTGCCTGGGTGGCACAGTAGGTTAAGTATCTGACTCTTGATTTTGGTTCAGGTCATGATCTCAGGGTCATGAGATCAAACTCAGCATTAGGCTCCACATTCAGCGGGGAGTCTGCTTGGGTTTCTCTCTCTGTCTCCCTCTACCCCCTCCCCCTCTCTAAAATGAATAAATAGATCTTTAAAAAATTAAAAATAAAGATAGCGACTGCCTCAAATTGCTACTAGTAATGCAATTTTATTACAACTAATTCTAAAAGTGTTTCATTTGGGTTATGCATGTTTACATTAAGAACACTAAAGCTGTTTTAATTTAAACTTTAAGCAAATTTTAGAATATGTAATTACA